GGTGATTATGCCCATGAATTTCTAGGCAATAAATTCACCAAACAAAAAACAATTCACTGACTGAAAAATAGTGAATGTGTCCAACTGCACTTTCCACATACTCAAAGATGACAGATTCATTAGTGTGCAATAATGAAAATGGCATTATTTTCTTCATGTTGCATTACACTTTGTAGTTATTACCTAGAAAAATAATTCAATAAACACAAGCAGAAGCCTGCAAGAATGAGAATGGAGAAAAAAACCCACAGAAAACCATTATCTGCTGTTACAATCTTCTCTATAAATTGCTAGACTAAGACAATAAAATGAAAAAAGGCAGGCAGTACAGTCTTCTGTAGGTATACATGCTAGTGGACAGTCAGTTTTTTCACAGATGGGATTACACAGCATACAGCTCTAATGGCTGTTTCCTCAAAGTGCAACTTTGTGCATATTATACAAAAAAATTACTGGTATTGTTGTGAATCAGCCCAAGTCTGAGATTCTTTATAATGTTAATCCTTTTAGTCACTGGGACTTCCCAAGGAATGACATTCTGAACAGAGAATCATTTTGTTGTTCAATTTGACTTTCTCAATGAAAGGTTTGTTATTTGTTTTAGATAATTTTAAACTTACATGATTCTGTTTGTTTCAGACTTAATGAAGTCCTAAAAAGTAACATGAATTTTGTAGACTGAGTTAAGAAACAAAGCATATGGCACATACAGTATCACTGAAAAATATTCAAAATAAAATGTGGTCAGAATGCTATATGTACCTCTGGGTGGAGTTAGTTCAATCATGTTAATTTCACAGAAACCAACAGGGAAAATAGAAGGGGAAGTGGCATGGTAACAAAACCAATCAGACCCATCTGCTGCTTCTGAGCCATCAATCCCAATCATAAGATAGCCATCTGCTAAAACCTTTGTGAAGAAAAACAAAATTTGACATTAAATACCTTTAACTGTGTGATAAGGCTAGAAAGAAAACATGCCGTGTTTCAAAAGAGTAAAAAGTAACTCAATAATGGAAGCACACTTAGGAGGACATTCAATTACAACAAAACAAAAAGCCCCAAATCATACCCAGCTAAAACTGTGTAGCATTGTCAAATGTACTTTTGCTAACTGCAAAGTTATGAGAGGAACACTTTTGTCATCTCTAGATTATTTTTCTCGTGAACATCAGTTCTACTTCAAAAGTTTAGTAATTTGGTCTGCTCCTTAGCTTGCAAGGATATTCTGCACACCATGAATAAGAAAAGACTCAAAATGATAACCATGCTCCTCACTTGGAAGCTTAGCAATTTTGCTAAGCTACTTTTTACATTTCCTTCCTCTTTTAAAACAGATTTCAGATGGACAGGCTCCCTTTCAAACAACCTAGGAAAGAATCACAACCCCTAAAATCTCTTCATAGAGTTCTGCAAGTAAGCAAGATGAGGTTTCTCTTTCTGAACAGTTGCAAACCACTTCATCAAATTAGCAGAAGATTGTCCTACAAAATATCACGAGTGTATTATATTCTAAGTAAAGGTAAGGCTGATTTTCCAGAGATTCGAGTAGAAGTAGTAATAAAAAACATATATGAGCATATTCTTTCATCCGTTGTACACAAACAATTAATGGACAAATTCCATCAACATTCATTGTGTGCAACTGGATTTATTTTGGTTTTGAGCTTTGTTTCTAACCTAAAGTTAAGGAAAGGATTCCCATCTATCTATATATTTCTTTTCTTACCTTTCTAATAGTTGCCACACATATTGCTGAAAGGTTTAAGGGGTCTATAGCTTCCAATTTCATTCCTTCTTTAAACCATTCTCCAGCTGCATCAACCTCTTTTACCTAAAGAATCACATAACAGCACGAGAAGCTAAGCATCAGATAGGCCCAGGCAAAATAACCCCACACTGCCACAGCAACAGATGGAAACACCTGTTCTATCATCTCTGCTTATGTCAAGGGTGCCAAATTAGGTAAGTGCTTGAATAAAAGAGTAAGACTTGTGCTGGGCATATTTCCAGGACTTAAGTAGAGTCTCAGGTCTGTTTTATACACACCAGGAACTAAAAGTGCTCAATCCACTGAGAGAAAACAAGTGTTCCTGCTAGCAAACTCACCTTCATAAATAAATGTGAGGGTGCATCAAAATGTCCATCCTGTTTCTTTGTAATATCTGTAAGGAATAAGAATAATAGTACACAGTATTCAGAGGTTAAGAGAGTGGACTGTATCTTTTGTTTTTCATCTGTCAGCTAATAAACTGCAATCATTGCTGTGGGAGGCCCATAGAAAAATCTGGAGGACATAATCCATCTCTTTTCCTTATTGACTTCTACTGGAGATACCTTACAACCTCCTCATTTATGGCAAAATAAGCAATATCTACAAGACCACCCGATTATGTCACAAAACTGATACAAATATACATAGAGCTTTTGCAAAAAATTAGCATGTAAACTGCTTGGCACTATGTTATATATGTAAGTACAACTTCCTGTCATTTTTATATAATTATACATAATCACTTCAAATACACAGATATATCTATAGTTGGTTTTAGCTAACTGTTGAGTATTATTTTCCAAGGGGAATCCCTGGAGCTCTGTTACAACTATTATTTTTGGGAAGGAGCACTGTCCTTGAGTTCTCTACTCCTCAATTGTTTCAGTGAAAATTTGAGTGCTAGGAGAACTGAAGGTTTTCCTGAAAGGTTGCCTTGTGGAATGTTTTACAGAAGTTCTGTTTCTCACCAGGGACACAAGTTCCATGGAGCAGAGCACTACTAAAAAAACACTTTTTTTTTTTTGCTGAGAAATCATAACTATTTCAAATTATAAGTACTTTTGTATTTTAGATAACAGAGGCCTTAACTGTGTATCACCTATTAGAAAGTCACTTCACCTTCCCTGACCATCTCCAAATGCTCTCTAAAACATGTAAATCTTTCAGTACAAGAATAGTAGATAGTCCTTAAATATACAAGCAAAAAAAGAAATTGAGTTTCAAGTATCAAGGATACTTGTCCAAGGTGTATTGTACAAAAGAGACAAACATGAAGAAACTAGGTGTTTGTGGAGAAAGACTGTGTAATTCCACACATCGGAATGAAAAATGAGATGAAGTCAGACACCTCCACACCAATACCGCCCACAAAGACACCTCTAAACACCAACAAGCTTACCAGATCTTTTGAATCTGTGTCCTATACTTCGAGACCAACCAATATGATGAATGAGTGGGCTGTACATGTGGCACCAGAAGTCGTCAGTTTTGTCTTCACTCTCCTCATAGACCAGCCGTAAGCGCCCCCCGATGACGCTCTCCACCACCGCCACCCTCGTCCGACAGAGGTGTGTTTTGTCAACAACTTCTACTCTCATGGAAGCTTTGAATGGATACTGCATACTCTCAGACACCTTAAAAGTAACAGGAAAAGAAACAACCTTCTGTAAGAACATACTGTTTCTCCTTAGCTGCTTTCTGCTATTACAGTATCAATGCGCTTTTCATTGAATTCAAATACTTGTTAATCGACCTGCAGAAATGCCACCAGTGATGTGTCTTATTTCATTGTACATGGAGGAAAAATGACATGGGTCAGAACACTAAGCAGAATAGATCTTACAATGCTTTAACTGTATCAGTTACAGCCCCTAACAGTTCTCACATAGGCTACAGGGATTTTCCATTGACTTAATGGAAGATTTTTCAGTTGTTAAAAATGGATAAAATTATCTTGAGAAAATTACCTTTTTTAGCAAAAAAAAAAAATTTTTGCTTTGTCATCCACTCCAAATATAGCACTTAACAATAGGATTATGACTTTTTATTATAAAAGGCACAGAAAACAAGCCTTCAACATAACTAAAGGTGCCCACTGGCAAACATTTATTTCTTCATTAGATACCAAAATGAATGGAAGAGAATGGAAATGAATGTTTATCTGCCTTGTGACAAGACATGCTGCTTAAAGATCAGTATCTGTTACTTGCCATTTCCATTACAAACTCACCAAAGTGCTGAGGTCTTGCCAACTGAATTTGGCTTCCAGCTCAGCCAACTTTTAAATAGAACAACTGTAGAAAGTTTTCCAGTTTGTTTTTTGATATTACAGGCAATGTAAGACAAAAAATAAGTCTCATATTCCTACTAAAAGCTATGTGCTATCTCACAATATTAGTAAGGAAACCTACAGCACACAATACAGGCAGCTGCCACAAAGACACCGCACAGAGCAAAAAAAACCTAGTTCAGAGCAGATGAAAAATAAACATTTCAAAGTATGTACTTCACTGCACCTAGATATGTGCTATATTAATGCATTTTTAGTTTCTTGAAATAGTGCACGATAAAAATAATTCCTGAATTAGAAAAATCAGTTCTAATTTTTCTTACATATCACAGGGTAGCTTCTCAACACTTTTTTAAAATTGGGGTATTATAAAATGAAAATAAACTAATGTTTAAAGAAATTTACTCTGCTAGAGGAAACAGTTATACAAACACACAGTGACAAGTGCAGACAATAGCGATTCCAAGGAAAACTGTATTTAAGGGGAGAAACTACTATATCATCTGCACTATAAAAGGATTTAATGTGCCATGGTAAAGTACTTCAGTTGTTCACACTGTGCTGCAATTTTGTTCATAGTACATCATTGACATTGCATCAGCCTTACCTTCTGAGAAAAGTCAGGAGGAAGTGTTTTGGCACCAGTAAGTCGTTTCACTAGAAAAGCTTTCCAGTTTGTGTATTTGTGTTGGATGGCTGTTGCAAATGAAGGGGAAAAAATAAGCCACTGATTTTTAATTGTGTCCATTAAAGACAATATTAGAGTCTGGAATATGTAAAGAAGAAATCCCAGATGACTGTTAAAAAGCCTGGATGACAGTAATGACAAAAACCTCTTTAGAGAATGAATGCTACCCAAGATTAAGTTTATGGGTATGTCAGGGCAAAGGATTTAATAACAAAATATAAACAAAATCAGTGCACGTTCACATCACTGATTAGCTAACCATTTCCACCCTGATCTTAAAAACTAAGTCTCATCAGACTGGCTACTCCAAGAAACACTTTCAGCATCAGTCAAGTCCTTCTTTTTCCTAAAGTTTAAATTCTTTATTCATAACCGTTGGAAGAGTCGCTATGGTAAAAAAAAAAATTTTATATCTGGACCATGAGCAAATTTAGTTTAACAAAAAAAGACTTTGATATCAATCAGTAAGGTTACTGTTTACATACTTCGAGGAGGGACTAGCGGCTTCCCACTGGTTGCACACCAACCAACTGGGTGGATGTCAGACCCACAAATGTTGCACCAGAAGTCAAGACTTGAATCATTTTCAAAGCCTTCGTATCTTAGCAGAGCATTATAGCCTGAAAGAAAGCAATCCCATTAAAGAGACAAAAATGAAACAAGATGATAAAAAGTGTTACTATTTCCTAACAATCATAATATATATTATACTGGGGTTTTTTTAAACTTTTTTTTTTTTTTTACTTTTATTCTTATGAAACATTTCTGCATGTGATTAATGCACAGAATGGATTACTTTGATAAATGTCGAGGTGCTATCATGTAGAGTCAAGTTTTAATTAAAACTAATTCCTGAAATCTGAACTTTTAGAATTTATAAATAGGACAAAATAAATTATTTACCCATGGTATCTGCTTTTTCATATCTTCACTATTTGACCTTGAGCTTTTAAGCTTTTAACCAAGTGATGTGTGTAACAAGGCTTGAGAGCCATTATACAATTTCCTATCTCCTTATTCTGCACAGCTCTTACAGCACTCCGAGGCCCATATAAAAAAACACAGGTTACTGAAGGCACTATAAAGACATATATAACAATGATAGTGCCAAAACATAACCTATTGGCACAGCTCTGACAGCCTAAACAGTGTCAACATTTTACTAACCAAGTGCTCCCTTAATGCAGTTATTTTATTTTAATAATTTTAACTAAAAATTATTTACCTGCTAATTTTACAATTCCAGCTATCCAGAAGACTTTGGTAGGTAGGCTGCAGTCAGTGTTTGGAACCTCCACTCGCACTCCTTCTGAGATATCACCCCAACATGTCCCCATAGGTGCCTATCATTTAAGGTTGGAGGGAAAAAGCCACCAGTTCACATAAATAATTATTTTTTGTTATATCTATGTTTTATGAGTGACTTCAAAAGACAAAACCATCAATACACATGTTGAAACATAAGCATGTTTAAAAAGCATCAATGAAAACTGGTTTTGATTTGAAGCCCATGTGTAGTACTCTAATTATACACTATTATTACTGTATTTTCTAAAAAAAATAAAAAAAAATAAAAAAAAATTACAGGATTCCAGGTTTTAAAAACTGTGAAGTACAAGCACAAATTGCATAAACTCACAGGTCGGCTTAATTCTCCTATGTTTCAGCTAGGTGCAAGCTACTGATTTTTGTAAGAATGGCGTGACTACTCTGCAGTTCTACTTGCACGAAACTTGTGGTACTTTAAATTCATACCTGTACCAGAGAGATCTAATTCTTTACTTTCTGTAAATCAGAATCATTCCCCAAAAAAATGTCTGAAAGTTACTTCTTGAATCCATTCTAACTATTTATTACGGTGAAGTTTATCACCCACTGGTTCACATCCTCTCAGAGGAACAGACTTTTGTATCACCTGCAAGTGTTCATTTCTTCTAGCAAGCAAAAAGACTAGGAGGCTGAGGGACATCGTTTAAACAAACACCAAAAGGAAACACAGCTGGACTTCTCACACACCACCCTGAAAGGCTTAAGAGTAATGCAGCAGTAACAAGAAGACAGACAAGCTTGATGAACTAGTACAGTTCTGTGGAAACTGCAGAAAAATTACATATAGTTTGCTATCTCAACAAGAAAGTTTCTAACAGAGCATCATGAAAAGACAGTCAAAGATGGTATTGTAGAGATACCAGAAATTCACAGTGCTGAAGAACCTAAAACCTTGAAAGTTATATGGGTAACAACACAGAAAATGACTCATTCTACATTAAACATGAGACCACCAAGAAGTGCAAGTTTTAGATTTGGGGTAGTCTAGAACAACACTCATATAAATTCTAAGGTGTTCTGTGAAAAAATATTATCAGCTCAGGGAATATCCAGATATCACAGGGACAACTGAAGAGATCCTCTGGTTCTGTACCACAGTGGGCAAAGAGTGTTCTAACTCTATGTCTTCTTTTTATAAAGTTTTTTGCAACAGTGGCACTAGCTTCCAACTTCACAGAACTTTGGCTGAGAAACACAAGTGAAGAGATTTGGATTAATCCTGAATGACTGGAAATCACGATACTTGAATTTTGCTGGCATTCCAACTCAGAACACTAAAAGCCAAACTTCTCTTAAAAAAGGATACCCTTCATTAGGAGAAATATTTGAAGCTAAGCATGCCGATTAATACTAATTTTAACTATGAAAGGAAAAATGGGTTATTAAAATTATGCCAGTTTCTTGTTCTTGAAGCCTGGTCTCTTCAAGTTCTGCTATGTCCCATCTACACCAGTCTAGTCTGCAGAACTCTTTTCTGCCATCTGGCAGAGAAAAACAGAGCTTGAACAATGGTGGCTTATTTTCACACACCAAATATGCAGATACAGCTTCTTAATCAAGTCCTGTTACTTATTCACTATCATCTCTAAATTGACTTGTGTAGCTTTCAGGATTGAATTGAGGAAATAAACTTTTCAAATTGCATATTTTAGTAAATTTTGTTGTTTGTATAGAGATACAGATGAGGCCAAATAATTAAAAATACCAATGCTGAATAATTTCACAATCCAGCTGCACTTAATTGAAACGTATTTTACTGCCTGCTCATCTATTCAGTTGATTCAGAGAGAAAAAGTACATCAAAACACCTCTCACATCAACCAGTAACAGAAATGTCGTAATATTTTCCTTCTAGAAAGTGGATTGGTATAGAGGGAAATAGCAGAAAGTTAAATTTGTCCTTGTCTGTGAAAATATTGGTTCTGCTAGTTCTCCTACACCAATCCATATGGCTCACCCTTTAGAAGAAGAAAGCCATCCTGTGTAGCATCACTACTGAAATGCCAGGTAACATTAGTGTCCTGAAGTGATGGTTTACAGTATGCTTGGTACACTGCACCATCTTTTCCTTTTTCTCTCATTATGAATATTCTTAAGGAAGGAAGACTGATAAACAGGCTATAACAGCCATCTTCCTCCATGTCTTCTCTGTCTCCATCTGATTAATCAATCAATGTTTGCACAGTGCTTTGAAAAACTCAAAAAGCACTAAGTGTTAGGTCTTATGCATCTGCTGGCTGGGAGGGTAACTGAAGTCTGGATTGGCATAGTGCGAACTAGCAGAACCATAATTTACAGGTAAGAACAAATTTACCTTTCAGACTCATGACGAAGAGATCCACTTCATATCACTCCCAAACAAGGAAGATCTGCTTCATGGCTTCCTGCTCCAGGAGATGACCTGGGAGGGTTTATCTGTGAGCAGCAGCTGCCTTCTCTGCAAGGTAAGTTGTAATCAGAAAGGTCCTCTTTGACAGGGGCACCTAAAGGCTCAGTTTCCCCACCTGCCTAGCTGAACAAAGATCTTGTGGGTTAAATGAGCTCATGGCCTCTAAAACTCTTAGGGCTTCTGAAGGTTTTAGATGACACTGACATCACCACGATTTAAGACTTCAAACCTGAATTGGGATTTTAACGGCCAAGCGATGCTACCCACTCCTGAAATGTAAGGATACTATGCTGAAACCTCCTGTGTGAACAGTTCCCCCACAAAGAATAATGCCAGAGAAGACTGTGCAAAACTGTGGAAAATAAAAAGTTCAAAGCAAAGCACTGCCACCTAGTGTAAAACCCTGGAAATGCTCAGTTCGAGCAAACTTTTACCAAAAAGAACCAACACAATGTTACAGCCCAGAATAGAATTCAACTGGAAGAAAGACTGAACAATTCTTAAGTTCACGAATTGTACATCTCAATAGCAACAGAATGGAAACAAACAACTGCTATTAGTTGTCTATTAAGTTGTACATTAAGTAGTACTGAAAATAACTCAAAGCACTGTAGTCACTTTCATTTCTAGGAATGGTTTGAGCTACTAAAAGCAAATATAGGAAAAAAAGTAAGAAAACTGTTTAAATAAAAGGAAATGGGAATGCAGGTTAACAATGAGCACAATTTATGTCACTAAGCTATGATACTATATTATAAACATTAAATTAGGACTTTCCTTCATTGCACCAGCTACTGCTGTGTCTGATAAATGGAATTTTGCAAGTAAAAGCTGTAAGGTGTACAAACTAATTTTGACTTTATCACAGGCTTCCTGTATGACAAAGGAAAGCAGCTTCCCTGCTTCAGTTTACTGAACTATAAAGCAGGTGAGCACGGTTGTACCACGGCTCATGGATTTCCTTAGTGGTACTCGACACCGACATCTGGAATAAAGGTAACAGGGAAGTACAACAGCCACATTAAGGGCACCAAAAGACTTTGAAATGAATTCTTCTCTTACAGAGAAAGAGATATAATTTAAATATTTGAATGTTTTATTTCTCAAACACAACTGGTTTAAGTTGAAGAGGAAAGAACTCAGTCAAAAAAAAACACTTCATCTGGGAAAATGGCATCAAACCTGAAACATGCCAGGTTATTACAAAAATAATCAGTAAGCCAAATCACACAACTTTTACCTCCCTTAAATTTTCTTTAATATTGAGCCTAATGTTCCCTATCGAATGCCTATGCAGACACACCCAGTATAACCAGATTTGTATTTTATCTAATAACAAATTTAAAGGTAGATGTTTAGAATTTACAATAAGATCATAACTTCTGTTTTGAACAGAATAAGCTTTACAGAGTCATTCTCACAGACACACAAGTGTGCATGGAATCAATCATATGGATGATAAACACATTGATTAATACCAGCTTTTACAAAACAAAGCAATATAGTACACAGAAAACACAACAATACTCTCTCCAGACAGACAAAGAGTATTGTTTCTTTTAGTTATCAATAGAGCGTGAGAGAGTAAAGGATCTAACAAGAGATTACTGATGTGTTTTCAGGTTGACTGGTTCAAATAATATATTTTTAAAATAATTATAGCAAAACTGAATGCAAATCCCACCCTTGTAACTCTAACAAACACAGAAGTAGACGTCTTCAAAGGAAATGACAGGAGCTGCATTTTACATGTATATAAAAGGAAAACAGGGACAGAAAACAAACAACATTCTTTCTTAGTAGAACTGTTGTCATGTAGCTTGTGATAATATTCAAGGTGAAATATGAACAGTAGTGTTGTAGCTGTTCATATTATTGCTGTACCATACAACTTAATGAAGAATTAATAAAGGAAGATAACTCCTTTTAAGATGGAATGTCAGAGCATAATTTACAAGTGCCCTAACTATTGCAGTGTTTCCTAATTAAGGATGCCATGCAGCATGGAGCATTTGTTGTTATAGTACAGCACACGTTATCAAAAAATACCTTTTGATATGTCCTTATGAAAATACTTATTATAGCATGCATGTAACTGTGAAAGCAAAGCACAAACATGCTTACTTAAGCACATGGAATTTGATACAAATTCAGGAAGCTATGCTAATGCAAGGCTCTGTTCTGGGCAATAGTTAAGGCCTCTAAGCATAAAGGGTGCTATTCAGAAAGTGCCAACTGCCAAGAGCCCTCAACTCCTACTGATTTATGAGTTGACAGGGCTCAGCATGAACTCCAGAACTGGACAGAAAATGTCCCTTTTCTCCCTTATGGACAACTTCCATGAAACAAAATATTTGATTGCAATTTTTGTCAGATAATTTTGAGCAAAATAAAAAACTTTTGTAAGAAGGAACATTTAACTTCCCAGAAAAACCTTGTCAGAAAGTTTTTACTTAAGACACAAAATATTGACAGTTTTTTAACAAGATCTAATAATTTGTTTAACAAACACTAAAAGAGATGTCACTAAATATTTTTCTCATCCTCTAATTACACTCTGTAATAACTGAAGATTTTCTGTTTCTCTAAGGAGAAAGCTGACCTCTAAGTTCAGTTTTATAAAAAGCCTTCATTTTCTTCTATTTCTACACTACCTGCCAGCACCACTGACATGGAGAATCTGAATAAAAACTAAGGAAAAAAATCCCAAATCCAAATAGGTAAACAAAAGATCAGTTTAACATCATGGAGCAAGCCTGACTCCATCCAAAAGCCTTAACTTGCTCTAATATTGCATGACCTGGTTGGTTTAATACTCCAGTGCTTTCAATATTTTTTACAGATTGAATGTGATTCTTGTTTATGAGAGCATGTATGATGATAGTAACTGATAGTTTACAGAATGCTTTTAAGGGACAGATAAAACCAAATGTACCTATCTAAAAAGTAGTCACACCCACACAGTTCACTAAATAAGTTTTGCAGTCCAAGGCCATGGAGCATATTTGGGAATTCAAGAACTAACATGGCACACTCACACACACACACACACGATGATAGCAGGTATTGAAAGAGACTTACGTGTTTGAAACAGGTAACAGGAGCTGCTGTAAAGCTATTGCTGTTGATGTAGTTACCCCAGCTGAAACCTTCCACAGGGACAGCTGCTAAGAGAAAGTTTTTTTTTTATTTAGGAAGCTTCTAATGAGCCACAAATCTTGTATTACCAAGAATTCCTTTCAGTTTTGTTGATATGCCATTACCTGCTTTAGTCTTTGCCTGGTTTTGTAAAGTTGCTTGGTACTGAGCATATGCTGCTAATTTAGCCACTAGGGGTTGTTTTTGTAGGACTTTAGCCTTCTTTGTTGGAGGTTTACCCTAAAATGGAAAAAACTTAAGTAAATAAAATCTTTCCAAACTCACATCAGGAAATTTCCACAGGTCTGTAGCATATCTCTGGTACATTTAATTAAAATCAGAACAACACAGAATGGAAGTCAACTAAGTATCACAAAACTACATGTAATATTAAACAAATGTAAAAACCAGCAGCAAAGAATGTCCAAAAGATGATTTTTGTACTAGTATTCCAACTTGAACAGCATTATAGATTCATTGTTGTTTACCTGAAAAACAGATATCTTGTAAAAGTAGGTCAAAAGCACTTTTATTCTCATTTATACTAATGCAATTTCTTGGCATTTTTTGCAATGCAGTTGATATAGAATAGAATGATATTTCTTGACATTTCTCTTTTCTTGAATGTTACAAATACACTTTCATGCTTTTTACAATTAATATTTTAAGTGAATGGACCAAACATTTTGCTAATCTGTATAGTTAAGAAAACCCTCAAAACCCAAGCCACATCAATTCTAAATAAACCTTTTTGCTCTCTAAAGCAGGAAAATATCGTGGCTATGAGGCGCATGGAATTTCAAGCCACTACATATGTAGACTGATTTTTTTTTCTGCTTTTTTGCCCATAGAAGGGCCACTGCAGCAGAACTGAAAGGAGTCAGAATTCTCTGTCCCCTGAGAAACTTTTGCTGAGCCAAGTAATAAGTTCACGACTGACACAGTTTTGAGTTTTGGCCTACAAAATCGCTTGCGTGAAAACTTCGATGCGTTTAAAATCTTGACTTATCTTAAAACATCATGCAAGTTTCACAAACACAGACAACAATAAGGATATAAAGAAAATGGTGTCTGTACCGCTACCTGAAGCCTGGCCAGAATGCTGGCCTTCTTGGAGTTGGATGAATAGCTTCTAGAGCATGACACACTGCAGAAGCGTTTTGTTTTAGAGTAAAAAGCGTCACGGACACCAACCATTCCACACATCTCGCATGTAGCTAGTCAGAAGACAGGAAAAGCCAAAGGTCAAGAGTGTAATAAAGACCTCTGTAAAAGTTCAGAACAAAGATGACCTAAGGAAGGTCCTGTAGGTGGGCACCACCAAACAGTTTCTGAGTTTTTGACCCTGAAGATAAGTAGCTGAAAGTAACACCACCCACAAATGTCAGTGAAACACTAAGAACCTCAAGTTCACTGGTGAAAGGGTGTCTCCTCTCTGCCCCCCAATTTCACCTCTGGTAGAAGTGAATAAGTCAGCTAAATCAGCTAAAGCCCACTTCAGTGTTTTCACAGTTCTCAAGGAAATGTCTGCTTTTACTCTGTGCCTGCCAATCTCAATTTCCTCTAAATATATAAAATACTTCCAACCTGAAATAAAACCAGATCAACTTTCTGAATCATAAATTAGTACACCCAAAGTACCCCAGCCCACCAATATTCCCTTCTAGATGGAATAACACAGTTAAAAGGTTCATAGCATCACCCACTGAGATGTTCCATGCTGAGAAAGCATTTGTGACCAACTTATGCTAATGACACGATAGCAAGATTCTATCCAGAGAGAGAGAGCTTTATTAATCATTAATGATTTTGGCTAAAATACTTATTCCCTAATGATAAAAGCAATCTTCCCACCGTGGCTCCTCCCCGCTTCCTCTGATGGCTCCCCCCCCCCCCCCCCCCCTTTTTTTTTTTTACAGTATATTCTAGCTCACAGGGAACTGGTATTAACAGACTTTATACAGGAACAGTAATAAAGTTTTCCTAGCACACAAAGAAGCATATTTTAATACATAGTAGCTATAATATTAAGGGTAGAGAGAGTATATGGCCAAACATAGAAAGCACACTGACATTTTCCTCAAAGCTCAAAGAATAAAAGCAATGTACATGAGAACACACACATGCATGTGCATATTTAACACACATTTGACAGGATGGCAGATGTTCCCAAACTATTTCTTTCCTGACAGTGAGATACAAAATCTGTCTCGTTTCAGTTCAGCAAGACCCAAACAATTCCCCTTCCTCCAAACAAACCAACCCAACCCAAACCCTCCAGCTGTTTTGGTCCCTTTTCAGTTGGGAAAAAGTTGGGATTGGACCCTCTCAACTCACAGCACAGGCTATAAAACAAAGATCAAACTCTCTGTACTCATGCTCTGCATACTCACCCATGCCAGATTTGCCATCTGGATAAGTATAGACCTGTCCATTGTTCTTTATAATTGGGAGACTGGATGGTAAAGGAGCAACCTCCTCTTCACTCTCATCTGAACTGGAGCTGCTGCTGGTGTCCTCGCTACAACTATCATAGCCGTCAAACATCCCGAAAGAATCGCGTCGTCTCCTGTCTGCTCGGGAAGTGTCTTCTGCCTAAAAACAACAGGAAAAACCACAAACAACAAAAAGCCAAAATAGCAGAGCATTCTCAATGCAAATATTTCAATGTCAAGCTTAAAAACTTTCAGAGGTCAAAGCCTTCAGAAGTAGACATACTAACAAACTGCTCTACCAGCTCAGATATGAGCCACACATTGCCAATTAAATTAGTATTGGTACAGTCAAAATCAGCCAATTTCTGGTACTGTGACATAAAGGAAGACAAATCTATCTCATGATCCACTGAGAATACACAGTAGCTCTCCATACATATCTTTTTCTTGGTATCTTCAGAGTTCATTAAGCCTGATGTGCTGAATAATGACAGCCACACAGATCTTATATGCAAATGAGCACATTCCAGATGGCTGCAGCCACTTTCACTAAAATTCATTCATTAGAGAAAGCTGGGCAGAGAAAAGACAGTTCAGCCAAGAGGGCACTCAGAGCACAGGAACAGAAACGAGTGTATCCCTGCTCTCAGTGGCTTGTGGGGTTATCAGTAAATCCCTCAGCTCCTCACGTGTGGAACAGGAACACCTCTCTACCTCGCAGGGACGCTCGCAGGATTAACACACCAACAATTATGAAGAGCTCAGTTACTATGGCAATGGGGTCTGTATAAATGCTAAAAGATAGAAAGGTGACTAATTTGACACTGTCACATAATAAAACTTGTTACATAATAGCTTTCCTATAATCAAAAAAATCTGAGGTCAAATAAAAACATACAGTTCTGAAGAACACATAACAGTTAAGCAATTTCCAGTAAAAACATTAAAGTATAAACAACTGATTAACACATTTTTTTCTGATGCACAGCCAATACATGCTTTTTAATACAATGACAATTTTCATTTTATTAATACCTTACACAGCTCTACTGAAACAAGGCTACTGCTACATGAGCTGCTCTCATTAAACTAGAAAAAAAAAATTAAAACATTTGAAAGTATTTCCAGTATTAACTAAGTTTAAGAGGAAATAACAGATAAAAAAGACAAAGAAAAATTCTACTATTAAAGCACAAGTTAGGAGAATGAAGTACAGCCAAGAAAAGAGAAAAATATTAAGAAATCCTTTGCCTCTACTTCCTTTTTAAAGAGCTAATTTGATTTAAGAGTCATTGCAGACTGAAAATTAATAATATATGATCGGACTTTTCCTTCCTAAATTGCATTTGGATTCATAGCTTTAAGATTTCATCACAGTAATTCCCCAAATCCCTCTCCTAGAGAGCAAATGCCTGAACATCTTTATTGTTGGATCTCATCTGAGCCTCTTTCTGCCATGCTAGCCCTTTATTATAATATTCTCTGTCCTCCTTTGCAATCTGACTAAATCCTATTATGGTAAGATTTCCTTGTAGTTAGAAGGGAAAACTGATTTCCACACTGACCCAATCCTAGCATCCAATTAAAAAAAAAAAAAAAAAACCACCCACAAAACCCAGTAAGCACAAAAGGTTATACAAGAAGGTAAAGAAATTTAAAACATTTAAAGCAGCTCTAAAACCAAACAACAACAAAAAACCCAGCACAATGTTAATTATGCACACAACTCAAAATTATATTAAACCAATTAAAACTTGACAGGGCATAACTTGACAGCTCCTTGAAGGAACTGACATCTGCCTGAAGTAGCAATCAGAGGGAAAACTGAGCAATGGCAGGAGAAAACCTAGTCCTGACCTGCACAGGTACCAAGTCTTACCTGTACACTATTACTGATGCTATGAGCCAACAAGATGCAAGATCAGTTATTTGTTTGTGTGTGCACGTGTGTGTAGATTAAGGCAGAAGTTGAGCACAATGTTGCCATGGCTACAGTGTTCTGTGAACAGTGCCAGGAATTCACAGATTAGAACACCAAGACTAAGCATCTTCCTCAGGATTTCATGAACTCCTTAACATCTCACAGTATTTAACTTTCTTTCACCACATTCTCTGCTAAGAAATGCAATTCAATACCATAATAACCATTCTTAACCAGAACACCACGTGATGCCTTCTAGTATTAGGGGTAGATACTAGTGGTGTTTCAGAGCCCACAGGCAAGATCTCCTTCCTCCTTCACTCATCCCCATAAATCAGCTGATCTAACTCCACTAAGAGGTTAGGGCTCCATCCCAGTAAAGGAGGACTTCAGGCCTCCAGTGGAGGCTGCAGTACAAGACAGCCTCAGGACTTCTCCATTCCAGAGTGGAGAACTCTGGACCCACACGGCAGCTCTGCTTGGCCCTTTGCTGGCAGAGGTGTGAAATGCTGCAGCAGCTCAGCGGGGAAAGAGGTGCAGCCCATTCCCAGTCCCTCCAACACCCAACACTCCAGCAGAGAAACCCCAGAGCCAGCACTGCTGCCCCTGCACGGGAAGGTGACAGCAGGACCAGGCAGCTGGAGGGCCAGTGGCAGGGATGGGAGGACAGGCTGCTCTAGGCAAGCTGAAGCACGATGCAAGATTACAATCACAGAAGCCACAATAGCACAGTTGGCTCTTCTTTTTTTGTTCTTCTTTTGCATCACATATATTTAGAACCTCAATATTACTGCCAAGCCCTCTTTGCCAAAATATCCACAGATGAGAAAGAAAATATTTTCAGTTTCTATATGGGAAGCTGGGCGCTCTGCTAAGAAAATCATTTTTCAGCCTTGTCCAAGTTCCTAAATAGCAATCATCAAGTTCATGATGTTTAAAAGCACTGTGAAAATAAGTCTCATGTCACCTTCCCATTTACCTTATATTTGGCCAAATTGTCCTCGTTCAAGTTATGAATGATTCAAACCAGAGGCTTAGGTTATTGGTTTTTTTACAGGTAATTCTTTTTTTTACAGCATTTTACTGTAGTTTTCACAAAATGTTTTTATCCAAGCCTCTCTCAGAAGATAACCATGTTTACCAGAGAATTCATGTAGGACACTCTTAACGTTAATTTACAGTTATCTGGATGGTAATTCCAGGGAAACTACTCAAAATACATTCTGTGAGACTTAGGGTACAGTTTTGCAACAAAAAAATACCAAGTCCTTTGTGCACAGAAGTAGGTGGAAGTTAAGGAAGGTGATATGCAAATACCTATGCTGGAATTTTTCTGAAGCAGATCAAGGCATTTCTATTTTGACAATAAACAGCACTAAGGTTCTTTTTTAACCCATGTTGAAACACAGCATTTGTAGAAGCAAGTGAACAACACGTGGAATCTCTGATAACCCTTCCTGTAGAACTCAGGTGGAGTTTGCAAAAGAACAGGATCTCTAACATCCAAAACAGAAAAAAGTTGGGGGACCAGTCTGAGCTCAAAGGTCAAAACCAGCATCCTTACTAAAAGAACAATATATGCCTCAAACAGAACCATGACTAAGATAAAGCAGCTGCTTTGGGAGCAGCAGCCTGCAGCTCCTGCTGAGTTCTTGGAAGCAATGAGCAGCACCACGTCCTAGCATCTGACAAAGCAGCAGCTAAGCACAGCAGCTACAGGACCTCTATGCATGGAAGCCTCAGAAAGCACAGCTTACTGCCCTCCAAGGTGTTCCTACCCAATTCTGAGATACTGTCCATAAGAATGCAGTCCTTCACTCAAAAAAGTAACCACTGACTAACAATACTAATAACATAACCTAAAACTACAACCATAGTAAAATTAATCCTTGTTTCACAACATAGGCATAAAAGAAAAAAATCCAAACAACTTTCCTACTCTTAGAAGCCAGATTTAGCATGAAAAACCATGCTGAGGAGGTTGTCCTTTCCTCCAAACTGAACCAGATTAGTGCTCTCCATGTTCTAACAAATGAGGGAATAGCATCCTGCCCATCTGCATAACATGCTTTGAGCAGGAGTCTGGCTTACTATAGAATGTAGAACCTCCCAGCTGGTTAACACCAAAAGAGCAGTTACTTCAGTGACTCCACTGCTAGTAGAGACCCTACTGTACATTAAGCAGAAGCAATGCACAAACAAAAGAAGATGAAATTTTAGGCATACTGGCTGAGGCTTATTTTCCTAATGAGATTACTAGTTCCTCAACAGGGAAGATCTGTAGACAGAGCAATACAAAGTGTACGGTAAGCAGGACTGGCAAATAACTATGTACAACTACTTGCTTGGGGGTTTTCTTGCATACTTTTCTTTACTGAAGGGATGGGTGGAGAAAGGAACTCCTAAGAACTGCTTTCTTATTCTGCCCAACTTCCCATTTTCCTGTTCTTCCCCTCCTCCCCGTGAATACTTGGCAACAATGTACTTTAAAGAAAGACTCTTAATTAACCATTACACAAGGCAAATAGTATGATAAAAGAATAGAGTTAAGGAAACCGGTTTCCCTAAATGCAGGAAGGCAACTCTAAACAAATACAAAAAATAATGAGTTTCTCTCACTTTTAGCAGTCTTATATAATACATACAGCTGAACTTGCTCAGAATGTTATAGCATACATTCTCTGAGTATTAGTAACTGCTCTCAGCATAAAGAATTGGTCACAAAGGATGAACAATGCATTGCCAAAACACAAAACATGACCATTTAATGTTAATTAGACATCAAATACTTACTCAGGAAATTGCTTTAGTGTTTTGATGAAGACTATGCTCAAGTATTGGCAAAATTTATGAGAAAGCATTCTGAAGGTGAAAGCTTGCTACAAAAAATACCCTGTTATTAAGTAACCAAACTTCTTGCCCCTGAATAAGCACATTCTGACCAAAGGAGGACTATCCAAAACAGTCACAGAAAGGTTTCAAACCACTCAAAACAGTTGTTCCTACTGAGTCAACGTGGTGCTTGGATTCAGAAATGCAGCAATTTAGAGCTTTGAGTACAAGGGCTGCAGCTCAACAAAGGCCTACCAGCATCCACACAGATCAGCATCACTTCCCACACCCAGATCTAGCCCCCAGAAACATGTCAGAAGGATGGACAGATGGTACTGGAGGCTAAGGTCAACAAAAAGGTCACCACAACCTTCAAGACAAGGCTTGGAGATAAGACACATTGACTTTAATCACATACCCTTAGCACATCGTGCAGTTCCCAAGGAGTGTTTCCAAGTTGGTATTACATTTGATTCACAGCTTTTGTCTGCTAAGGTTCATTAGTGTTCTATACTGCAAGCTTAGTTTTTGCTCTGGATGTTAGCATTAAGGAAACAAAATGATACAATTAATTTATTACAACCCTTCTGAACATAAGCTGGCCAAAATTATTTACTGTGGTAATACTACCTTGTGCCCTGTGGAATAGAGATCTAATTGTGCCTCACAGCACGACAAGAAAAGGAAAATTCAAACATGGTACCAATTTAAAGAAACATTCTTTCAGCTTTCATTGAAAACAAACAAACAAAAAAACCCCAAAGCTAAACATCTCGGGATTCCTGGAAATCAGAACCAACCAAAACTTACTTTTTTTATATAAGCAACTCACCTCTATCTGGAAATGTGCCTTCCACTCTTATTATAAGTAAAATCTCTGCTGGAAAATTACAGAAATGTTTTTTCCTGTCTCTTCATTTGCTATGTATGACAGCATTTTGTCTGAAGCCAGTTTCTGCTGTTTGCCAATGGTTTTGTCCATAGCCTCTTCCCCAGGGGGTTTCACACAAGAGGGAAGACTCTTTCATAAAAAAATATATGAAATTAGCAGGCAATTTTGGAGGGGAGGTGTGATGATTAATACGTGAAATATCCGAGTTTTGAGAAAACTGAAAATCTGTTACAAACTCCATTAATTTTCTACAAAGCCCCTAGAGGAGTATCTAGAGGCAAATACTTCACTTTAAATACCGTGTTACCTTTTAAAAAAGCCCACAATTTAAATGTACAAAAATAAAAAAAAAACATCACCAACCCAAAACCACAGTGTTCAACACCTGAACTCATTCCATGTGCTCAGAGCCAGCAAAACATCACACATGCCCAGAGTGAACCAACTTACCTGAGAAACGAAGGTATGCAGTAGGAGTTTGCAGAAGGTATCAAAAGCCTTGCAAAATTAAATCAAATTTCAGAAGGTAAGAGAAGTGAAAGCCAACGAGAGGGAACTTTTGTGCACATTATCATTACTGTCATCATCACCTAACTCTTTAGGGAACAATGATGAAGAGAATGCTTACTTTCAGTCTACACTCCTTTTGCACTTGCACAAGGCTATGCACCCTCAAGAGCAACCTAAACTACTCCTGTGGCATGAACAGCAACTCCCACACAGCAGAGCACAGACCTCTGCTGTGTTCCCCTATTGCTCACGTTCCACACTTCCTCAAACTGATCCCTAGGCAGAAGCAACGAGTAAAAATTACTAACCTACCAAGTCTGAGAGCTTTTTCTTTAAGGAATATATTGTTTTAGTTCCCATTTAATGATCCAGATTAGGCTCTCTCATAGCCTTTTTATTCCATTCCTTACGAGTCGAAATTGGACTGTAATAAACAAATACAACAAGTAAGTAAAAGCAGGTTCTCAAACCTGCAAAACAATTTTCATTTAAAATACAGAACATTGCCCTGCAGCTTTCAGTTTTAACTGGTTTTAGATGTGACAAATCACAAGGGCTACCACCCACAGTTTGAATCGTTACTTTAAAATTAATTACTTTTTCACACACAGCAGTTTCTACCATAATCTGCATATGCTTTGTAGTAGGATTTTTGTTTTTTTTTTTTTAAAGCCAAACTGGACAGAAATTGCTACACTTTTAAATTCCAGCAACAGTCTGAAAGTGAAACTGGTTTCACGGGTTTACCGCTCCTCACATTAAGATCAAAATAATAATGTAAACGCTCATAAAAGTGATAAAAAACGGGAGAACTGTATGCGAAGAACGTCAAACTTTAGAATTGCTATTATAGAATACAGAACTTTAAATGAGCACGACTGGACAACTAAACCTTAAAGGTTTTAATTACAAGAGGAAGTCGCTGAAAAACCAGCACCTCGGTGGACCTAAAAAGAAGCGCATCCGAGCCCGCCCGCATCGCTCAGTACGAGGCAACCTGAAAGTTTCTGTTGCCAGCACTGGCTGCCGGCAGGAAGGAGGAGGGAAGAAAGGAAAAAAAAAACCCAACCCCACTGCCCCGAGGTGCCGGGAGAAGAGCCGGGATCACAACAAAGAGGGTCCCGCCGCCGCC